TGTACACCAAGGCCCCTGCACCGGACGCGACTCTGTTTTCACCTCTTGAGGTCTGGTCCGCAGCACGTGCAAGGGAGCGGTCAAAGTCTCAGACCCCAGCTGCCACTCTTTGAGGTGCTTTGAGGTCGCAATGGGCTCCCTCGGAGTTTTAGCGCTGGTCAGAAACCATTCTGTTGAGCGGAGGTACAAGAACTGCCGGCAGCGGTCACCGAACCAGTATTTCACCTCTTTGTCATCCGAAAAGGGAAAGAAATACTCCTGAAACAATCCCCGTTCCTCATGTTCCGGCGGAAATGTGGTCTTCACCACTTTGTCTGCGATCTTCGCCACTGTGGGATTTTCGACGGCGCGCTTCATGGCTCGCTCATCCGGGAGGTAAATACTGCAAGTTAACGGGGTTCCTAAGTTGCTACAACTCGCTGGTGAAATTTATCAGCGTGAGTACTTTGTGATACTATTCCTTTAGCCTCCGTTTCATAATTCTGGTACAGTTTCACCCACGACCCCATCGAGTTCAAATCATAAGAAACAACGTCCCCATAAAGCCTCTCGATAATGTGCCCCGCGTTGGAGTAAACTCTGCATCAACAAACCTTCCATGATTTAGGAACCTGAAGAAGCTGTTGGGCACTCGCGAGTTTTCGTGTCGAACACGGTTATAAATACAAGGAACTACCAAGTGCGCCATGACCATCATGATGACGACGATGAAGGGATCTGATGATGAACTGATGATAAGGACTCTGGCGATGAACCCCTTGATGGTGATGGTCCAGTGATGGTGATGAAACTTATGAAGATGACGATGAGATGAATCAAAGGATGGTACTGATGACTATGGCGGTGATGATGATCATGAGGGTGACGCTGGCCGCTCTGATTCTGATGACATCTGATAGCGATTGAAGGTGCTTGTGATGCTGGCTGATGCTGCTGATGACACGACGCGGACCAGGCCGACGACGACGCTGAGATAGCTACTGAACTCCCAGCACTACCTAACTTCCCACATGTAACATCCCAAACCTGAACGGTCAACCAGGCGTTGTAGGCTTGGCGTCCCGGCTTTCGGCGCTTCCCTCGGCGGCCCGGCAGTCGAGGCAGACAGTTTGCAATTCTTACGCTTACAGGGTACTGAATTCTGGCGTTCTTGGGGCTAGCATTGAAGGCAATTTCAGAGCTCGTGACGTCCTCGAGCGTGCTCCCCATATGTGTTTGTAAACATACAGGTTTACTATCATTATTTCTAATCTAGGTAATGAGAGCAGGTGTATTTTCCATTTACCAAATTCGCATCTTCAATATATTACAAATCTTTCAATGCCTTATTCTTACTATATAAGAAAATTTAATTAGAAACCATTATGAAAAACAGGTTCTGTGCGCAGCTACATGCACTGAAGCCCTACCTCCATCCTCGAGTAGATTCAGCTGCTCCAGCGCTATGGTTGTGCATGACATCTGAGTCGATAAATTTTGTCTGTGCGCATGTACGTATGCATCTATCCGATCTTTATGTATACCTGTCTATCTATCTATCTATCTATCTATCTATCTGTCTGTCTATCTGTGTACCTACAGCCCCTTCCAAATCCGACCTTATAAACACATATACATATATATATATATATGTATGGTTACACCACCCCGGCGATCCACCCCAGCCTTCTTGCCAACTGTTCGTCTACAGTATTACGTCTCCAAAAGCTTTCTCCGAGGTCCCGAAACCATCGGTGTTTACGGTGGCCTCTGCACTTTACATATACAGACCTCTACTCCTTGTGCTTGTGTGGTATATGTAAACCACCCAGAACCCCAACCGAATCTGGTTTCGCGTCCGCACTAATGGGAAGAACCACGTGAACCCTTCTAACTGCGAAAGACACAAGAAACTCAGTTGTTTCTGCTTAGTTGGTGTTCACCTCTGTCACCAAAAGTCCTCTATCATCACAAAGAACTTAGTCCCTTACCAGTGGCTAGAACTCAGCGAGCTCTTGTAATCTGCCACTGTCACAAATTCAATCTTCATGTTTCGGAGCAGAAGTGGTCTCCCTCCACTATATTCCGAATAGTTCGATCATAAGTAAAGTATGTCGAGCCTCTTTCGCCTCATAACACGAATGGAACAGCTGCTCGTTTCTTCATGTCATGTGAAACCAGACAACTTCTGTTACGATCGGAATATCAAGTAAAACTGTAGTATGCTACCAGCAAGAAAAAAGCAAAGACCAAGTAAAGATCACCCTTTCTTCTCTTCATAAGACGGAACTGAATTGGGACAAAGATACATCTGGAACGCATTCGTTGTTCCTCTCCTAGTAAGAAGCGAAAAACCGTTTGGCTCATGCAGCCAAATAACCAGGCTCCTTTGCGTCCCCCGTACTGCCAGCTAAAATTGAACAGAGATGCTACATTGTTCAACAACACATGAAATGACTCCTGTCTTCTCCCCATAGCCTCATAACAAAACAGGAAATCATCTACATCTCTTAGGACTAGAAGGCTGCAAAATAATTCCAGTACATAATGAACACAGGTTATCTCGATGAAGGGAACATTAGTATCTGAAGAACTTGGTTATTTATGTATTTATGTATGTAAGACACGTAAAATTTACAGCATTGTGGAGCGTTCGATATGTAACAAGGAAGTTTTTATGTTTACATAACAAAAAACGAAGCTTTTCTGTCTCTAAGTATTCAGAAGACAGAAGAAAGCCTAGCCTTTTCCAACCATGAGCAAGAATAAGAAAGCTCCTTCAGTTGATATTGAAAATGCAATAGCGTTACTTTGTGAGTATAACATCTGAGAGCTCATGTATCTCTCTTAACCACTGAGCGAGATGCTAAAGAACACATCTATGCAACCAAAACAACAACTACCAAAAGCAATAATACCGCTGCTGGCACTGCCACAATTACTAGTGCTGATATTACTGCCATTTGTTGGTCATCTAGTTCCAGATCGATGGTATCCCGCCAGGCTCGAAATTCATAACTTCATCATATCTTGTAAAACATTCCCATTTTGTTAAGCCTGAAATTCGGATGCATTGGCAGGAATTTCCAACAAAATTCCAAACATCTGGCATCTACGGGAGTGTGGGGCCAGAGTTGTTCAGATTTTGGGATTTTTGAATACTTTCGCCGCTGTTTTTCGGAGTTCAGGCTTTGCACAGTTTGGGGAAAACTCGATCCCTGCCGATGTTTTGGCACGAGAGGTTGCCCACCTCCCATGATCCACCGCTTACCAAAAGCAAGCTCGGGTGGATCCATGTATATATATATATACATATGTATGTATGTATGTATGTATGTATCTATGTGCACACACTCAACCTACCGTCTCCAAGAATGCATGCGCAGCCAGGTTGCTCCGATGCAGGGCCAGAGACAGCTGTGACTGCAACCTGTGATCGAGAAGCACGGAGTTTGTTCAATTTCGGGGCACCAATGAAGGTTGATCTGACTTGTTGTCGGTTTCACCACCCGAGCATCGCACAAATGGTCAAGGTCAATCGAAGCTCACGCAAGGCACCTCGAGTGTTGCATCCGCAGCCCCGTGCCAGTTCTGTCGGTCCTGCCGCGAACGGGACTCCACTTGACAAGCCATGAGCACCACGGAGCCTTCGAAGTCCAAACTTGGAGCTTTCGTTCCTACGGTGGGTAGGATCTCCGCGATTGAATGCTTCAACTGGGTGTTCCGTGATGTGGGTCTAACGTGTTCAGGTCTCAGTCTGGCTCTCACTTCAAGACCTTGCTTTTTTCTTGCAAAGATCTTGCATGTTACGGCCCAGACTGTGGCGTTTCCTGCCTTCCGTGGGTTGCAATGACTACGCAGTCCATTCCCATCGTCCTTGCTGGTTGCTCCGCATGATTGGTGTCTGTTTCATGAACAACCCACTCGCGGACGATTTCGGTTGCAATGACGATGCTACACAGTTTCATGAATGCATGACCTTGGCTTGATGCTTGCTGTATCGTGTCCATGCTACGAGGCGAAGCTCTGCAGTCGATAGGACACGAAGAGCCCTGTGAAGCAAAGTGCCTTGCTAGTTTGATTGTGCCTGTGCCAAGAAAGCTGCGCCATGCTTACCAGCTGATTAGGGTGCAAGAGTAATGTTCAGTAGCGACAACAAGAACCCCCGAAGGCACAATGAGAGTCAATTTGAGGTCTCAGGCGCTGGCTTTGAGTCTTGAACGTATGCTGGATGCAAGTCACTGAAGTGCTGAATACGCCACATCAGGGAAGAAACGAAGACATGGTGCCCAGTGTTATGGTGGCACGTGGGGCCTGACACCTCGGGAGGATTCGGTGCAACACCCTTTTCTCTTTGACGACAGCTCCGCGCACATCCGCGCACCGAAGCGGACGTGCATCGTTGCATCTCTCTAACCTCGGAGTCAGGAAAGGATTGTGGTATAGCTTCGTACAGCGACATCTTCTCATGTAGTGTTGGACAACGTAAAGAGCGAAACTGATGTCGACATCACATCAATTCATTTCAAGGCCTTGGTTTGGATTGGAAGTTACAGAAGAGCAGCTCACTGTCATCCTTAATTTCGGGAATTCTGTTCGTGTGGGTCTAAAGCCCCATGCCTCAATGCTGGAGGGGTGCTCAAGTATGCCAGGAGGAACTGGTTGAATCTCCGGATCTTTTTGTGTATCTAGAGCCCTCCACCCGAACGTGCTCCAGTGCACCCTTGGACTGGGCTACATGATTCGATATCCGGCTGTATGCTGTGCGACTGACCGAAACAACACACCCTCCCTTAGCACTGCACTACACCTCAACGTCTCAGGTTATACCAGTCTACTGCCACAAGGTCCGAGCACCAAGCCTTACCTCTACAGCCCCCAGAGACGATTACCCGACACCGCAAGCCCTAGTAAATCCTGATCCTGAAACCCTGGAGCCTAGGGCCTAGACACCACACCCAATGGTACTATTATCGCATTTCTGATTGGAATCCGTAAACCTAAACGGCTGAGATCCCGGCAGGCCAACAACTCCGATGGTGTGCAAGGCATGCTCGCAGCAGGAAACCTCGCGAACAGCTGAAATGGATTGGAGTTCGGTGTAGAGCTTTATTTAGCGTTTAGAGTACTCGGAGATAGCCACAGATGGAAACCCAACCGCAGTTTCGATGCAATGCTTCCCTAAACAAAAGCCTTATGCGCCTGTCCCGGATGCGATCCTGAAAAGCGCAGGGGTTTGGGTTTGCCAATGCGGCCTTCTAGCTCTAGCTCTAGCCCTCAGCCAGCAAGACCAAGGGGCTACAACATTGCGGCTGGGCATGTCGACTTGCACCTGCGCAGCAGGGCTTTGGGCATTACAGCTGCTTGAGGTCTTCACGGGCTTGTGTTTTTGGGATTCAAGGCCGGCAGAGTACAGCATTCAGGGATAGGACTTGGGCTTGCAGGGTCGGGTTCGAGGCTTCTGAAACGAAACACGCAGAGCTATGTAACGAAAGCCAAATGCTTGCCATGCGCAAATCTATTCCCAACCTCATATCGACAGAAGGATGGTTCATGTCAGTCTTGCCAGAGAATGAGCCCTGCCTGGTGTTGTGTGGCCAAAGTTATTAACCGCAAAGACGCTTGCCAGGCTCTCGTACGGCCCTGGGAGCGCGCATCCGACGGAGCCAACATTTGGAATTCACAGGGTGAGGCCCGGGTAATCGACGTTCTGAAAATTATTCATGACACTGCTTCTCCGTTTCTCGTCCCTGCTGCTGCTCCTGCCGCTGCAAGTATTTCCAGATTAAGTGGCTGCTGTTGGCTACTGTTCCTCTTGTTTTGGTGGTCATTGCAAATCGTCGCTACACATTGCAACTAGTATTAGCATTATGAGACTCATGTGACGAGTACTACAAGGATGTTCATTACTGTGTGACTATTTCGGTCGCAAATACCGTCCTTCGTTTTGTTGGATTAAGCTTCTTGTTGGAGTTACCAAGGTTCCATGTATACAGAGGAAGACCGCACAGCTTTAAATGAGAGTGCTGGCGCAGGGATAAGGGCTCATAGAAGTGCTTAAGAGTTTCGGGTCAAGGGTCATGTGGGGGGCTTACGTGAGTATACTGGAGCACATTGTTGCCCTACGCCTTGGGCGGAGTCATGTTACTGGTTTGAATGCTCCTTTACTGACAGGGCAAATCCTGTACCGTATGGGTCTACTTAGGTGCTCCATTCGCCGAAGGAGTTCGGTAAGGATGTACAGGGCTCCAGGCTTCAGGAGTTTATGTTTCAGGCTCCAGCAAGAGAGGCCGAAACCCTCGACAACTATTTTTTTAGGCTTGCTTGTCAAATCAATGCTCACTCAAAGCCCCTAGGTCTGATCAGCCGCAAACGGCAATCTGTAGTGGGGCTGCGACTACGGGACAATTCGGGCTCGTTTTGGGGCCAGTATTCCGTCACTTCAGCATGGATCCCAGATTTCTTATCGGATAGCTTAGGAAGTTTCTGGTCTAGCATAGGTATCTAGTAGAAGCAGTGTTCCCCTCCAAAATGCTTATCCAAGGTTGCCTGAAAGGGCGTTGGGGTCTTCCCTGCCCACCCACAGCTGCCGACTTGAGTGCTGCTAAGCTTCGCAGGCAAACAAGCCTTGCGCATACACCGGCAGTGTTCAAGAATTGGAGGCGTCGGGGCGAGAATGGATTATTCCGCGTAGGTGTGTGTACACAAGGAATTCAAGAATGCTACAACTTGCAGCTTTCAGGATGTGGCAGTAGAAACTGTTGTGAGTTCAAAGCTTGAAGTGGGAACCGTCTCTGCCCCAAGTCGACAGGGGTGTAGGCCTTAGAGGATTTCGGGTTTTCAGTAGGACATGCCCGACATCCTAAACAATGATGTGAGCCGAATCATGTAGCGGTTCGAGCCACGCTCGAACCTGCTGTGATGGCCTCCCTGTTAATGGGTTCAAAAGATCCCCAGGCATGCCTAGACTTTCAAGCGTTGATTAACAAAGCTGCCAACATCTGGCCTAAGAGTGCCTCAAATGTCAGCCTTGCGCAGCAAGGATATCGTTAGCCACAGAGTCAACGGGGCTCGGGCACGAAACTGCTTCAGGCTTGGGGTGCGTCGAGGATAAGGTGTAGGGCGCAAGGTATTTTGTTGGATGAATACGGTTCAGATTTGGGGTAGGCTGTCATTTTGATCTGCAAACTAAAGGTATGCTAGCGGCCCGTCCCGCAGGCGGTCTTGTCTCGTAGCACGCCGGAGCTCAGCCTCAGTAATTCAGGCTTTCCAGCGCTTTAAACCTGACATGCCAAACCCGCTGCCCTATAACCCTTTGAAAGAGCAAAAGCCCCCAACCACCAAAAGTCTCAAGCCACATCCGCCCGAAAGTGTGAACTCAACATCACTAAACATCCCAAAGTGCTGAAGCCCAAAATCCACCATTAGAGGAGAAGAAGAGGAAGAAGAAGAGAAGAAGAAGAAGAAGTAGTAGTAGTAGTAGTAGCAATAGTAGTAATAGTAGTAGTAGCAGTAGTGGTAGTAGTAGTAGTAGTAGTAGTCGTCGTAGTAGTAGTCGTAGTACTAGTAGTACTAGTAGTAGTACTAGTAATAGTAGTAGCAGCAGCAATACTACTACTAGTCCTCCTCCTCCTCCTGCTGCTGCTGCTACCACTACCAGTACCACTACCACTACTGCTACTACTACTACTACTACTGCTGCTGCTGCTGCTACTACTACTACTACTACTCCTGCTGCTGCTGCTGCTACTACAACTACTCCTACTCCTACTCCCACTCCTACTCCTACTCCGACTCCCACTCCCACTCCGCCTCCTACCGCCACTGCTACTGCTTTGGTAGTATTACTGCTACTGCTAGGGCGACTTGTACGACGATGACGATCGACGAAGACGACTACGACTACTATTAGAGTATAATGAAAAAGCTGGTAATGGGAGATAGCTGTATGCTGGAGTGCGAAGCTTCGGAGCTTCCTTTCAGGTCCCTGAATGTCGAGGCCACCTTCTGCCAGGCCAGGGCCTCAGGGTTCAGCAGGGACTTTTGGTAGGATCTGGTCGGGGCAAGGATAGGTTCGGGATCGTTGTATCTATCTGTCTATCTATCGATCGGTCTGTCTGGGTGTCAGCTAGATAGGTAGTTAGGTAGGTAGATAGATAGATACCTGAGCCAAGACTCGGATCTTTTGTCTCACCAGCAGTTCCTTCTGTCTGCTTCTATCTTCTTGACAGTGCACGTTCTGGGGTCTCCGAAAAACTTCCAAGTCCTATGGAACAAGGGAGGACAAGACGACATCATTCTCCTGAAACACAAATCGCAGACCTCTGCAACTATAAGCCCCTACATTTGTAGCCGTTGCAGCCTTAATCAGCCGTCAGAGACTCTAAATATTAAACCACCATAATTGAGAAACAAACCCCAAATTGTAGGGGTATCCTTATTCTGAGTGAAGGTATGTTCCTTATAACCATGCGAAGTCCCATAAAACCCTGCAAGTTAAGGGATAGTCCCTCGAATGAAGAGGTATTGGAATCTTTGCGTATTTGACGCCTAAACTCTAGACCCCTGGACGCTAAAACAGCGCAAAGCCTTCACCCTAAGCCTTGCAGGACGAAGCATTTGGTCTCACCGAGTTCCAGGAGCTCTGGCAGCAGAGACCTTAAAGTGCTCGGACGACCGCTTCCCGGGCCTGGGGGGGAGGAGCTTATGTAGGATGTGATAGGTACTACAGAGGGGAGGGATGGCGTTAGAGTTCTGGGGCCTGCTGGTGTTTGTTCTCATGTCTCGGGTCACATCGATGGCAACCATGCATGCTATCGTCTTAGACCACTGCCACCACTGAAAGCTGAATCCGTTGCCTTAGAAGAGACAAGAAGCTTCCGCTTCAGTCAGTTGTCCGGAAGTCAGGCATCGGGAAAGTGAGGTGCATGCTGATGCTGACACATATATTTTTAGAAATGCATGTATACTTGTCTTCCCGGTTTCGCATGTGAAGCCGTTCTTATACATGTTTTTGTATATAATATGTGTCTGCACATATGCATATATGTCCATGCCCAGACATCCGAAATATTCGCCTTCCCCCTCGGACCCTCTGAGGTTGGAGGAGCTGGGGAGGCCCGTGCCGATGACCCTACACCCTAAACTTCCCCAAACCTCTAGACCCTAAAGCCTTAATCCTAAACCTAAAGCCTTAATCCTAAACCTGCGGCCCTGTGACGACTGGCAGTTGGCAGGGATCTGGCAGAGGAGGGCGATCCACCGTTTCAGAGGCTCGAGCCACGAAGTGCGTGAACTTGAGGCTTGAGGTTGCGGGGTTTTGAGGTGTTTGTTGTGGTGAGGAAAGCTTGTATTTAACGACATGATAGCTGCGAGCCATTCAAGTTGCAGGCAACTGTCAAGATCACCCGCGAATGCCGAGGAGATGGCAGCCGATCATCAGACATCTCCGGCTCCTGCATTTAATATAGAGGCCTTAATAATTAGAGTAGGGTTTTGGGGTAGATTATACTATAATTAAAAATTAGGAACCCCCAAAATAGTAGAGGCAATTCTTACGGCCCCTATATTACTTGCGCATGCTCTAGCAGATTGGGTTTTTATGTTCATCGTATTGGAGAACTTTTGCTTTGCCAGCATGAGAGCGCTTTTGCGTGGCTCTGTCGAACTCACCACTTCTGTACGAGCCCGGTTTCCTACATTGTCGGAGGGTTACCGTGGCTTATAAGCCCTGGTTAAAAAAGCTTCTGGTACCCATAACCCAGTATCCCAGTATAATAAACTGTAACATACTATAATGCATTATATATTATAGCATACTTTACTACATCATATACTAGAACATACTATAATATACCATAACAGACTATAACATACTATATAGGTAACTGGGATTTTAGGGCTTCTTTGAGCAGGAGCCCACGAGTCCCGCCTCGCCTAGCCACGTCGGCCGGGCCCTCGTCTGTTTCAAATCTCACTGCATAAAGGAGCCTTGGGTAAAGGGTTTAGGCGGTTTAGGGTTTAGGGAAGCTTAGGGTTCAAGATCGCAGGGGCTCTGTAATGAAGAATAGCACCTCCAGGTTCGAGTATGTAACTATGTTAGAATCTGCTGGAACTATACCACAAAGCTCTATACTCCGAGCATGCGGCGGTCTTTCAAGGACTACTTTAAGATTGTTCTACGGTTTATACGGTGATGGATTTGGAAAGAGTAGAGAGATACGGCAAGATTTAAGAGCAGCGCGCTCTGTGTACAGCTGCGGAAATCCCTTCTTGGAGTCATAGCTTTGAGCCTAAACCGAAACCCTAAACAACTCAGAAAAGCGATTTCGCAACGGACTGTCTGTGCAAGCTCGACGTCTTTCTCACATAACCTAGAGCCTCAGGCGGAGCGCTGTCTGCTGAAAGGCTTTAATGAAGAGCAATTACGGGGAGTTACGGAGTGCAGCCTTTTGATTAAGTAGGAGTTCTTCTTCGAACAAGCCTCTCAGAATTTCAGGAGTATTTCTCAGCTGCTTGCGAGTGTTTTTTTGCGGGAACCACTACAGGAGACCGCTACTATTTCCCACTATAGTGTCATTGCAGTTGTCGTCATGGTATGTCGTCTTGATAGTCATGAGACTAACGATCTGAGATAACGGTTTGCAAAATAGCAGCACTAGAGCCAGCCTGTCCAAACCGTCATCTGTGCACAAGCCCGCGAGCTTTTGTGCGGAACTGCCTTTGAACCGACATGTAGTGTCCCCAGTCATATGTAAGGTCTACAAATCAAAAGGATCCTGTTTGCCAGCCTGAGGTGCTATTACCGCAGGAAGCTGTGGCGAGGTGCATTTCAGCCCTCTCCGGTGGAGGACCACGGTGACGGTAAGCATCCTACGAATGGTCATAACGAGCGTATTACAGGAGCATCAGCAGAAGAGCAGGACGAAGAACAGCAAAGCAGAATAGTGACTGACAAAGTAGTGATAGGGAGGCTACAAAGAGGAAGAAAATCCTCAACAAAGAGGGCCCCAATCGTAAGGGTAGCTGCAGCAGTCGTTATGACAGCTTATGACAGCAATAGCCTACAATGCGCCTACATCATGAAGCTATCGCATCACAAGACAACATGTGTATCAACACTGCGCATGATGTTGCTGCTGCGGGTGCCGGGTTCAGAACATGTTCACGGTTTGCTTCCATTTGCGGTACTAGCTGTTGCAGGCAGTGGGGACTTCACATCTGGATCGAGGTGAGGCTTCGAGCTAATGTATTGATGAATGCTGCCCCGCAGGCACCTCGGCACAGTCTTGCGGAAAGGTAGGTGGTCGTCGCAGCACTCATCGCTTCGGGACGATGCCGAACGGTGGCCGCCGCTGTGGGGCCGAGTGGGACCGTGGTGGCCGCTGGCAGTGGAGGCAACGCTACTCTGGCAGGCCTTTGCGACATGCACTCAAACACGACGTGTATGTATGCATGCATGCATGCATGCATGCATAAGTGTCTGTCTGTATGTATGTCTGTGTGTATGCATGCATGCATGCATGCATGCATGCATGCATGCATGCATGCATGCATGCATGCATGCATGCGTGGATGCATGGATGCATGGATGCATGGATGGATGGATGGATGGATGGATGGATGGATGGATGGATGTGTATATGTATGTAAGTATGTGTATGTAAGTATGTGTATGTATGTATGTGTATGTAAGTATGTGTATGTATGTATGTATGTATGTATGTATGTATGTATGTATGTGTGTGTGCTTGTTTGTACATACATACGTACATGCCTACATACGTACACACAGAACGACATATATGTATGTACATATACTTATGTTTTATGTAGACACGAGTTGTTTCTCCAATCACACTTCACTTCAACCGTCTTGAGACGCTCTCAGTCCTGAATTGCCCGGTCCCTTTTCCCATAGTGCCAGGCGATACTGGAACACGTGGGAAGACGTCGACGTCCATCGCTACGAGGGTCTCCATCACAAGTACCAGGTCGCAGAAGAGGAGCTTAACAACGGCGCCTTTCGAGTTACCAATGGAGTGGTGCCGAACTCTAGCCAGACCGTGTTCATGCACGATCGAGTCGGGTGGGGAGTGTCGCAAGCACCCATCAGCAATGACGTGCAAGTCATCATGCAAAATTTCTTCCGCCTGCAGTGGATGGTGCCGGAGCACCATCCACTGCAGGCGGAAGAATTCTGCATGATGACTTGCACGTCATTGCTGATGGGTGCTTGCGACACTCCCCAC